CCACCAAACTTCCCCAAACTGCCGCCGATGAAAACGTCGGAACCAGTCAAAAGGTGCTGAGCCGGGGACAAAGGGAAAGCATATGCAAGGGGTGAGGGGGTGAGGGGGTGAGGACACGCACGTGGAGGGTCTTTTCAAAAGAATAATGCAGGGGAAGTAGGTTCAGCTGCAGTGATCCATCATATTCAGAGATGGCTAAAGTGGGGAGGTGTGTGGCGCAGTGGGTTGTGCGTTGGTGTTCGGATCAGGGGGTCACAGGTTCAAACCCCACTGCAGTCAGCATGTCGTGGTGTCCCTGAGACACTTCACCCCAAATTGCTCCTGTGGGGATTGTCCACAGTATTGAGTATGTAAGTCGCTTTGGATAAAAGCTGTAAAGTAAAAAGTACCCATAAGTACCATCTGTTTTAAAGAGTACCTGACCTCCCTTTATATTAATAGAACAATAATGTCATTGTTAGCTAATGAATGTTTCCATGCTGAACAACGGCAACATGACAACGTTTTCATTGGTCCCTCTTCTTTAGAGAAGACCAGGAAATGATGGATACACGGATCGTGTTCAAAACAATAGGCACGCAATGACTAAGTAATAATGATCACGCCACCAAACACACATTCAAACTAAAGGAACCAGCCTGTTTGGAAAATGTGAGAAGTAGAAAGTACAGGTATTTGTGTTCAACATGTAAGAAGTAGAAAGTACAGGTATTAAAAATGAAAAATGTAAGAAGTAATAAGTAGTGGAGTAAAGTACTGATACCAGAAAAATGTACTTAAGTACAGTAACGAAGTATTTGTACTCCACTACTTGCCATCTCTGGTCATAATGGAGGCTTAGGAATAAGGTTATTGTCCAAATGAATGTCAACATTGGCCTAGAATGGAAGAAAAAGCACTCTATGTCTTGTTTATTACAGAAAAGGGGTAGCGATTAATGATATTACTGTCACACTTATAAAGTATGCAAAAAATGTTAATTTATTTTTGTGGGAGAGGCATTTATTTGCATGTAGTTTCATGATAATTAGTTCATATACTGTACAAATGTGAAAGGTCTCTTTTACAGATGAGCAATGAGTAATATTATAGGGTTGTAGCTGGTCAAGTACGAGCTACCTTCCAGTATAAATACCTCAAACTGTTTTGGAGTACAGTGATTCAAACGTCCAAAACAGCGGTCTATCAAACAACTATGGGCTGTATCCAAGTCATTTTAGGGCTGTTGATATTGAAAACTTGAGTCTCTCAGATGCAGGTTGTGTGCAGGAATGAACAGTTTTCTCTAAACAAAGAGACAGATCAAGTGTTGTGCGTGTTACTTTCTCTTCGTGATGCCAGGTTGTTTTGGGAGTTGAACCATTGACCTCTCAGCTTTGGTTCAGCCCTTCTGAGCACTACAGGCTCCACGACTGCCCACAAATGAAGCCTTTGGCATCCAATTAAATGCGGGACAGGTTTGGAGGCTGAGACAAACACAGCTCTGTCGGGTGTGAGTTGTCTCTTGCATGTCAGCTAATGTAGAAGCGCATCGAACGCTCTGTTCCGTGCACTGCCCACCGCCGGGACCTCGGATCAGAATCAAAAAAATCTCTATCGGATCAAGTGGGAGCGCTCAACTTTGCTTTGTTAAAGTAAGACTCGTACTACAATACCTGCTTGGGAAGGTCACAAAGGGAAGTCAAGGGCATTTGAGCAGTGGTGTACTCACTAAATTCATTGTGTTACAGATAATGGTGAAACATAAGCATTTTACACACACGGCTGCCATTTAGTCAGACCTTTAACAGTTTGAATAACTAATGGTGCTAATGAAAGCTGGAGCAGTGTGCATATGTTACCTTCCACCTACAAATTCTGCATAATTATAGGCGTTCAATACTTTTACGGTCATGGATCCAATCGTGATGTTACAGAACAACCCAGTCCCACTGCATTTCGTGTCTTAATCTATTGATTCGTGTTCACCAAAACCATTTCCCACTTTTCTTCGTGTCACACAGAGCGATTTTAAAAGCAATGTATTTTTATTGGTAGTGTGTTTCGTGCCTGCACCACGTCTTTATGTCCGGTAGGGTCTTGGAAGACCGGAAGCTGTGTGGTTCATAAAAACATTTTCTTACTAAATATCTTACCCTAAGCCTAACCATTTTATTTTAAATAGTATAATGTCGGAGTTTTTTTGCCGTCCGCGAGGAAAAGAAATGGGGCTCAGAGCCTCAGAATACTGAAACCTGTATTTTTTGTCATCTTTTTTTCCTTCTAATTTGTTATTATTTGGTGAATGCACGAAACATACTACCAATAGAAATACATTGCTTCTAAAATCGTCCTGTGTCAAAAAAATTCTGAAATCTGTATTTTTTTTAAAATCTGTTTTTACTTCTAATTTGTTATTATTTACATTGCTTTTAAAATTGTTCTGTGTGACACGAATAAAATGGCGAAATCGTTTTTAATCAATAGATTAATTTTGTGACTATAACACGAGACTGTTGTACAGAAAGACGCCAAAGGTCATTATAGACCTCACACACACACAGTTGTGTTTTGAACTTGAGTCAAATGTTTTTTTCAGAGTATGGATTTTGGTGTCAGGGTGTGTGTATGAGAGCAGAGTTTGCCTCTCCCGTAGAGGCATGCCGGGCTGGAGGCCATTTCATGGTCTCTGATCCTCATTTGTCATTCAGCAGCGTTAAATACTAATAGGCAAATACCCGCTGACACGAGAGGGCGAGCGATCGAAAGCAATTAGGCCACTTTTTCTATGAAAATCTGTAAACAATTCCGACGGTAGCAAAGAAAAGCGAGTCTGTCCGTGCCTCGGGAGGTGTCGCGAAGGCAAAGTTGACTCATTGTGACTCCATCTGACAAACTAAAAATGAAATGCCTTCATCCTTATGTCTCTGCTGGAGGTAAGAAAACATATGTGTGTCTTTCTGTATCCTCGAAAGACTTCCATTGAGTGCTAACACCTCACATTGTGCTCATACTGTAAAGTGACTTTAAACTGCCTCCTGTGGGCTCCATGAAATGAGGATATTCATTTATTCTAGAACAATCTCCTTTAAATGTGAAGCAAAATAACGAGTAAGAGTAAAAAAGACATTTGAATATATTGCCTCTTCCTTAGAGTAACCTTAAACATCGGAATGAGCCTCTAAAGATGTGACTACCTTCTCTGATGTCATATATAATGACCAATAAAATGCTGCTTTTAGGAGTTTTAATACTCACACTTAGTCTGTCTCCGGCTTCCAGGGAGGACTCCTTGTGCAGCAAGGCGTACTGGGAAATCCTCCGCGTGTCCTTCTCCAGGTGTGAATACATGTCATGTTGGTAGAAGTCCATGATGGATAAGGGTGTCTCCACACTGCTCCTCTTGAGGGTCTCCTCATTCAGGTCCACTGTGGATGGAGGAAGATGTTATAAATCAAGAAGAAAGGATCTCAACAAAATGTCTATCTTTACTGATGAATGGGAAAAGATTCGTTTAGCGACGTCATCACACCTGAGTCACTGTTCTTGGATCTGAGGATCAGGGTCCTCTGCGGGGGTCTTCCCGTTTCCTCCGGTTCAGTCTCCGTGTCGCTGCTGCTGCTCCCCGAGTACGTGCACACCTGAAGGGCTCTCTCCTGGTAGAAAAAAACAGTTTAAGATACAGACATTTGAGAGAAAAGAACAAAGAAAGAAAGAATGGGAACAACAGAATATTTAACTGCAGCTTTGAGCAGTTCTTTCCCCAGCCAAATAACAGAGTTTTGGAAGTGTTTTTATTTACTTTTAAAAACTGAATTTTCAATACTTTCAAACTGACTTGTGCACATTGTAATGTAAACAACTTACAGCAGCCATGTCATGGTCCTTGGCCTTCATCTTCCTCTCCGTTTCCTTCTCGTTGTCCTCGGTGGAGATGTTACTCAGGGGAGCACAGAGACTCAACCTCTTTGCCCTTATTGCATCTGTAAGTCGACAAAAGAGACACCAGGCATGAGGCGTGCGGTGAATAACAGAGAGATCATGCATTTGCACACACCATGTGACCATGTTCATCATTTGAATTCTTCCAAAGTGAGAATCTTCCCTTTAGCAGACTGAGAAAAGCACACGGTGAGAACATCCACTCGAGCAAACACCAGCCTGTGCATCCTTTCTTAGTGCACCTGATGGAACTGCACTATATCCAAGCCATCAAACATTAAAGGTCCCCTATTGTAATGTTTTTCATCAATATATTATAGGTCTCAGAAATATACAAAACTGAAACTTTCAGAGGGGACACATGTTTATGTATAAAAGACATGAAAAAGTGGATTTTGCATAACAGGTGTCCTTTAATGGTGTCTATCGTGCGATTGTCCGTCGCCATGACTCCTGGCTTTCAGCCGCCCAATGACAAAGCGCTCCCTTATTATCACCCCGCCCACTGCTGTCTCAGCCCCGCACTTGTCTCTTTTAACATTCAGCTGTGATACAATAACAGCCGGCTTCTGGCCAATACTAAATCTGTCTGTATTCGCTTTTGGTGGTTCTAAAAAGGATAGAAAATAGAGGGGTGAAGAGCTCATTGGATAAAGAGCTCTTTTGATCATCTTGTTCCACAGTTGAGACCCACATTGCTGCCTCTACCTGTTTCTTGTAATCAGAATAGCGATCATCAAACAAATTAGGAAGGAATTGGCTAAAAGATAATAACTTCACAATGGAATAACCTAGTTAATGAAATCTATGTAATGGAGACTATGAGAATTAGAAACCAAATCCATATCCTTGAGGAAAGGTGGGTTGAGTATAGAACATTATAATGAAGATAATTAATGTATACCTGAGTATTAATAATGTATCCATTATTTTATTTGTAATATTATTATTGTATTATTTCTTTTCGGATTTGCAAACTGTTATGTAGTTAATCTATCCACCTAGATGTGTTTATTTTATTGTGTACGCTTTATGATCTATGGCTGTGTTGACATGCTTATCTGATCTCATCTGTTAGTTGTCCTCGAGCGAGGAAGACTCCGGGTTTCTAAAGAGGACACAGAGTCCTTTGTCATCTCAGCTGGCGGCGTAGAAGCATTTACTTTAAATTAAAAGACTCATTTTGATCAGAGTCTAAGAAAGCGAACAGATTCCTCTTATCTGGCGCCCTTGAGGGAAATGTGTCAACACAGAGTTCAGTGACATTCGTCTCAGAGGTAAAACCAGCATTATGAGGCTTTCAAGGCTTGGTACTTTGCCATCTAGCATGATAATAGTCGCTTTTACAGCCAAGCATTTCAATTTATTTTCCTCTCTGCCTGAGTGAGAGAATCAGATATAAAAGGAAAGCATTGATTGTTGATACCTCCACATTGTGAAATGGGCTTTATGCAGGAGGTGTCAAAGAGAAGAGGAGGAGTCATCACTAACAACCGTAACCTTATCTAGGAGAGATTTCTGCTTCGGAAATCAGATAAAAATGTGATAACAATTGACACTTATTACCTAACTAAAGAATCCTCTGTCCGTGCTGCAACAATAGCCTTTTCTGTTTGTTTAAGAATAACCCTTTTGTATCATATTGTGGTAGCCCTGTGTGTTTTCGGAAACAGAGTAAAGGCTAGAAAGTGAGTTCGAAAGCCAGGAGCATCATCATCCAGTGAAATAAGTGCTGACTCACCAATGGACACAAAGACTTAAGGTTGTAAACTGTATGGAGAATGTAACAGCAAAAACTACGACTCAAGATGGAAGTGTATTTAGAGAAATGGTCACCTGTTGTTAGGTATTTGGCAAAGTGAATATATTGTAAGCCTCTAATTGGACTATATATTTCTGATGCTTTGTTGATAATTACTATTGTATATTGTACTTTTTGATTATATTATATTATATATATATATATTTGTATATAACAGTATGATATTGTATCTGTACCATGTTGTGTGAGACTCACTGTCAAGGAACTTGTTTTAATAAATGTTCAAATAAACAAGGGCTGATTCACCGTGTCTTTAAAGGTCACCTATTATGCAAAATCCACGTTTTCATATCTTCTATACATAAACATGTGTCCCCTCTGTGTAAAGACATTCTGAAAGTTTCAGAGAAAAAGATTCCCTCTCTTTTTGACCTGTCTGAAAATGAGCTGATCAGATTTTGGCCACTTTATGATGTCATAACGTTTTTTTGGCTTGTGTAACCATTAGCCAATCACCAACAGAGGTAGCCCCCCCCCCACCACCTTATCACCTGAATCTCCTCCTAGAGCACCATTGTGTTTTTTTAACCACTCACTTCTCAGAGGGGCGTGGCCAGCAGCCGCTCATTAGCATTTAAAGCTACAGACAGTGGGTCTTTCTTAATGTCGAGTAAAGCCGCTCCAGAGCCACTATTTCAAGCATACTACGTCTCCGAGTGCCGCCGAAGGACTTTTCCAATGTCCAGCATACTTGGAATTCTACCGAGCCCGGCGTACCTCGTAGCGGGAAATTTCGAGGCTGCACATGTGTAGACTCCGAGGTCTTAAAATCCCCACAATGCTTTGCGCACGGACCAATTTTCCCAAATCTGTGGTGGAAAATGTAAGACGGGGCCTCTCATATGACGCACACCTGCACACTTGCTAGCCTGTTCCACTCTTCGTTTTCCGAATGCCAGGAAGTATTCTTGCCTCGCTTCTGAAGCAAGTTACTCGGAAGACATGTGCTGCCAAGCAAGCATCCTCGACTTTGAGAAACACCCACAGAATCAGCACTTTTGAAACAGGGCTGAAACAGAGGGGATTATGGGATGTTTGGTGTTTCAAGCCAAAACCTTCAGAGACATGTTTGTATAGATCTGAGACCTATAAGTATACGAGGGGACCTTTAAACCCTCCCAGAAATATTAGGGAATAAATATAAAGTAATTTACACTTCTTCTCCACTCACCTGAAGATGCTAATTTGGGCAGGCGGCTCTGGGGGTCCGCTGCGATGGTCACACTGGGCTCGGACAGGGAGTGACCCATGCTGGTGGGGGCATGCAGGCGGGGGTTTGGGAGGGAAGGCGCTTCAAGATGTGAGGGGTCTGGGTGAGGAGAGGGAGGTTCCAGATCCAGGTCAGAGGAGCCGGAGGTCATCGCTCCGGGGCTGGACTCAGATTTGGGGAGGGGGAAGGTACCGATCCCGCTGTCCAGGGTCCTCATCTGACAGCTGGAGCCTAAAAAGGGGACAGGGAGAGGAGTGTGATGCCTGGGAGAAGCACGGGAACAACAACAACAAAAGGAGAAGACAGGAGGGCTTCACATGCAACGGAAAGGATTGTGAGTAAAGAGGGCATCTGGAGCGGGGTTCAGTAACATGTGGCCGGTAGAAAGAAGGAGAAAAAAGAGAACATTTCTATTTGATATAGTAATATTTAATTGGCATAATTAGGATCGCAGTAATGGTGGCTCCACAACTTCTAATCAGACACTATTATGTGCCAGCGATGCCGAGCAAATTGAGCCACGCCCAAGGACACGTTCCTCAGAGTGCATGCTGGGTTTTAATCAGGAGAAATGACAGCAAGTAGCAACAGATGGTGGTTTGGAAGCCACAGTTTGCAGTCTTGACTGAACAGATGGACCAGGTCCTTGTAAGTGTGAACGGCCAACAGTTGCATCTGCTAATTATTTGTACTTTGCACATTTTTGCTGAGATAGAATTTTGTAATGATTCATCTTTGTTCAAATAAAAAAATCCCCGCGTGTTATCTTTCCACTGTAGGTCTTCTGCAGCTCTCAATTCTGTCTCACACAAATATTGTCTTTCTCTCATTCTCTTTCAATACTATTGGGCATTACAGTTGACTTTCACAAAAGCTTGCAAGAGGGATCACATTTGCATCTGGGGCTGAAGCTCAAACTATTGATCCATTTTCTCTTATGTCTCTGGGTGCCGTAATGCACTAAAAGTAACAAACACATTCTTGTCTTAATGCCAAGAATTGTCAATAAATTCAAAGACGAGGGAATATAAAAGTTGTCTTTCAGAGAGAAAACTTTGAGCAGTCAATGTTCTTGTGTACTTTAAGTTTATATCTGACTTGCCCCTGACATTCAACCCCCCCCCTGCGAGTGGAGATCTTGTGGAAATGAGTCCTGGACATTCATTGGACAGATGGCTGTTACATGTATGAGTCACTTGAGGACAGTTGCTGCGAAAAGTATAAAAATCCTCCATAGTTCATGATGTAGCTGACGTCCAAGCAGAGAAAACACACATTTGTGGCGAGTGAGAAAGCTGGAGGGAGCCATAGATTGCACAGCTGCATTATTGAATGCCAAGCCTGGCAGTTCACCACCGCCCCCCC